AGGGCTGTCACACAGAGCCACCACAGAGCATCTGCAGGGGACAGGGGAGGAGTGTGGGGGCTCTCACTAACGCCCAGCACAGCCTGCTGGCAGTGACCACTTCCTTCCCACTGGGCTTTGGGATGGACTCATGGCTCCTATGGGCTCTGGGTATGTGGTGGCTCAGTACTGTCAGCTAAATTAACACTGACAGGCTCAGAAATGCTGAAAATGGGTCAAAATCCTCTGAATTTCATATCCAAATCCCAAACTGTGTACAGAATGGAGCAGTCCTTGTCTAAACACTGGTGGGGGAACCTGGGAATGGCTGTACTAGCACTTAGGAATCCAAACACGGGCAGGGCAGCCTGGACAGAGTAAGACAAGATCCAACCCTAGCTCTGGTTGACACCCACCAGGATCAGGAATCCAGCCTGACTCAGTCTGGAGGGCTGGATCATCAGAACTGCCCCCCAAGTAGTGGAATAGTGCAATTCCCCTGAATAGTGGAAGCAGATTCTCCCAACCCTCTGCCCATGGACCAGCACAGGCTATGCCCTCTCCACTGGGCCAGGGAAGGATCTGACTCTGTTCATGGAATGAACTGAGCCATCACAGCACCTCCAGCCTCACCTCCCTCTCAGGCTCCTCATCTGCAGTTGCATCAGGTCAGAGATCCACCAAGTTTTCCCTTCTCACTGCAGTGATTCAGAGCAGTAATCCCTCCCTGACTGCTCAGTCTAGACCAGGGCAAGATAAATTAGGAGCTGCAGCCAGAGAAAGCTGCAGGGTCTGTCTGTGTCTCGCCATTTCAATAAAGAACTCCCTTTATAGTCATCACAAAAAAGGCTTATTTCTCTCTGCTAAGCCAGGAATACTCCACTAGGCCATGGACCAGCCCTAGATGCGAGTGGTTCTTAATCATCAGGTTGGACCTGACCCAGGGATATAACAGAGAAGTGTTCCAGAGCCCATCTGTCCTCTGGATTGCTGTTTTTAGTGTTTACAGAAGTGAGGAGGCCAAAAACCACTGGGCTGTTCCTGGCTCTGCTGCTGGTCCTTGTGGTACTGTTGGGCAAGTGTTGCCCCTCGGCCTGTTCCCTGGGAAAGGGGGTGGCACAGCCCACCCTCACCATGCCCCCAGAGTTCTCTGTGCTGGTGAGAAGTGCTGCTGAAGGGGTGGCAAAATTCTACCTACCCAGGGTGCCACAGGGTTTGTTCTTGTAGATGCAAATGTCGTATCTGCAAAGAAGAGGAGGCAGAGTTAAAGATGCTTCTAATTTAGGTGCCTCCAAAGCAGCGCATCCCCATTTTACCCATGTGGTCACACCCAAACCACTTCAAACCAGCCCATGGCTCATGGAACACTTCTGGAATGGAAAGTACCAGTGGCAGCAGGTAAGATGCCTCTGATCTGTGTTGTCCAACACTCACTTTCCCCAGGCTGAGATTCACTGTGGGTTTTTAATGACATCTCCTGTCCTTTAACTCTGGGCAGTGCTGAGCTAGGGTAGAGGTTTGGTTTGGATGAAATGTGGTGGTAGGACATGTCCAGAGAAGGGAAGGGGGCTGGGGAAGGCGCTGGAGCACCAGGAGCAGCTGAGGGAGCTGGGGGGGGCTCATCCTGGAGAAAAGGAGGCTCAGGGGGGACCTTCTGGCTCTGCAACCCCCTGACATGAGGGGAGAGCTGGGAGGTTCAGGCTCTGCTCCCAGGGAACAGGACAGGAGGAAATGACCTCAAGTTGTTCCAGGGAAGGTTTAGATCAGATATTAGGAAAAATTGCTTCATGGGAAGGGTGGTCAGCCATTGGTACAGGCTGCCCAGGGCAGTGGTGGAGTCACCACCCCTGGAATTGCCCAAAAAACCAGCAGATGTGGCACTTCATGATATGGTTTCATGGGCATGGGAGGATTCAGTCAAAGGTTGGACTTCATGATCTTGGAGGTCTTTTCCAACCTTAATGATCCTATAAATCAGCAGGGACAATACTAATCCAGACTTAGAGCTCTTTGGGTTCAGGTGGGAGGTCCAGCTCTGCTCCCTGTGCACTCCTGGAAGGCATCAGGCACAGGAATGTTCCCCAGCAGGGCAGGGTGGGAGAGGGGCAGTTTCTGATCTGGAAACTCAGGTCCCTTGCAGTAAATTGCATTAATCAAACAGAGAATCACAGAATCCCAGAATGGTTTGGGTTGGAAGGGACCTTAAAGATCATCTCATTCCATCCCCTGCCATGGGCAAGGACATCTTCTACAAGTCCAGGTCGCTCCAAGCCCCATCCAACCTGGCCTTGGACACTGCCAGAGTTTTAATTCTGATTTTTTTTTTTAAACAACTAAGGAAAACATTTCAGTTTGAAAACATGTTCCATTTCAAAATCCACTGTGGTTTCATGAAAATGCTCAAGTGATTTTTTTTATATATATTTTTTTTTTCAGTTTAGTTCTTTACTGAGAATTTTCCCAACAAATTCAGTAAAGGTTGATTCAAGGTGACTCTTCCCTCTGTTCCTGGCCTCCACTTCCAGCCATTGCATCAAGGAACCCACTGTCTGCACATCATTAGCTGGATACAAGGAAGAGCTATAACAAGGAGAGCAAAAATCTCCTTCAAATGGAAATGCAGCACCCTCAGAATAGGATGTGGTGGCAGCTCCAAAAGAGACCAGTTTGGGGTTAGACAGTGAATATTATCATTTAATTGCAGAGGTAAACCACATGCCCCACCTGCCTCTGTTCCAACACTTTCTCCAGAAGGAGAGACACCCCAGACTTGGTTTAGTAAAGCCAGGGCTGAAAGGGGCCAGGCTAATGCTGAGATCTGAGCAGGGTGGGCAGGAGGGGGCACAAGTTGGGGTGTTATACTGAGGATGCTGAGAGGATGACAGGGACAGTGGAAGGAACATCGGAGCACCTGGAAGGACAGAGGATGCTGAAGGGAGAGCTGGAAGGATGGAGGGGACAAAGGGCACCAAGTGGCCTCTCTCAGAGGTGCTGCTGCTGTGTCCAGGACTGTCTGTCCAGTGCCCACACAAACCCTGCTTGGGCAGAGGAAACATCCTGGAAAGGCCAAAAGCAAACCCAAAACACAAGTGTTTGTGCCAGTGTGGGTTTGGGGACACCCCCGTGGTGTTGGGACCATCTGACACTGCTCACCCCAGTGATCCCAAGGGATGAGAGTAGACTGAGCAAGTGCCAGCCCATGATGGGTTAATGTGACACATTCCTGGTGATGCTCCTGTTCCTTTGGCTCTCTGGAAGTGTCCAAACCTCTCACCCTCAGCAGTGGAAAACATTTGTTGCTCTGTTTTGAGCAAATACTGTTAAAGCCCTTTGGAGGCTCAGGTTTCATGTCCCTGCAAAAGAAAAAAGCCTGGAGCTCAGCAAGATGTTATCAGAGACAGAGAATTTATTAGGGATGTGATGGTGCTGTCCCAGCCCAGTCACTCGCTGGGGTTGGCTCAGACATCTGGTGGGAGGATGAAAAACTCGGAGCTGGCGTTTGCATCCCACCTGTGGTGGGAGGGGAGGAAAAAGCAGAGCGGAGCTGCAGCCCCGGGAAAGGGAAATTCTGCAGCCCAGGGGCCCTTTTCTTGCTCCTCTGCTGATGCTTGTGGGTTCTCATCCCATGAGCTCCCCAGGAGGGATGTTCCAGGCTCCCACTGCCACCGGGAACTGGAGTAGGAGAGCAGCACGTGGACAAGGAAACCGGCTCCCACTTGGAGGCTCCCCTCTGCAGCACTTACATTTCATGACTTTCTTCCACTCCACAAGAGAGGAGGAGAAATGGCACAAACAAACCTTGGGCTTGCCTTTGGCCTCTCCCCAGGATGTTTCCCCTCTGCCCAAGCAGGGTTTGTGTGGACACTGGACAGTCCCGGACACAGCAGCAACACCTCAAAGAGCAGCCTCACAGTGCCCTTTTCCCCTCCATCACAGAATCAGCTGGGTTGGAAGGGACCTTCGAGATCATCAACTCCAACTCTTGATCCAACACCTCTGCAGTTGCCAGACCATGGCACTGAGTGCCACATCCAGTTTTATCTTAAAAAACCTCCAGGGACAGAGAAAAAACCTCGAGGGACTCCTTCCAGCCCTCCCTTCAGTATCTTGTCCTTTCAGATGCTCTGCTCCTCCTTCTACTGTCCCTGTTATCATCTCTTCGTCTTCCCTCCTTCTGACCACCCACCCTTCCTTCCAGCTGTCCCTCCTGCCATCCTCTGCTGCTTCAAGCTCAAGCCCCCATCTGTCCTGATGGGGGGCTATTTGTTCTTCACTTGTTCTTCACATGTCCTTCACCACATGAATGTTCAGACTCCCTTCTTGCAGCTCTCGAGGTCTAGTCCAGCATCCAAGTCATGTTGCTGACCTCAGCTGCTGTTCCAGGAGCACAGGGACACAGGCAGAAGTCCTGAGGGAGTTGGAATGAAGTAACTACTCCAAAGATGTCCACTGAGGAGAGAGTTCAGCCCTACACGTAGTCATCTAAAATGAGATGAGCCAAATCCTGCACTGGCTGGAGCACTGTCACTGTCACAATGCTCAGGTCCCACTTGGATCCTCTTCACCCTCCACAGCAGAGGCAGACAGGGCTCTCCAGGTTGCCCAGTGCTCCACAGCTCCGGGATGGGCTCTGGTGGTACCCAGCAGCCCCATGCCATTGCCTTCTGGTGTGCAAATGCCCGTGGCTGCAAACTAAGCTCCTTGAGAGCCCAACAAAGACCGAGGGAAGATGCTGGAGGATGAGAACTAACTGAAGTGGAAGATGATAGCTGTGTGAACTGCAATAATCCACATCCCTCTGAGGGAATTGGCACATGGCCAGACTGAAGGATGGCCACTGCCAGGCCATTCGTGGGGGATGGAAGCCTTGGATGATCCATTTGGACAGAGGCAGAGGACAGATACATGCCCAGAGGACAGACAGATGCCCAGAGGACAGACAGATGCCCAGAGGACAACCCCAGAGAGGACAACATGAAGGACAGCCCTGCTGGGTGTGGGCTTGGGCTCAGCCTCACCTGGTGATCAGCACTGCAGTGTCGTGGTTGGCTATGCCGTTCTCAGGGATAGCATTCCCATTGCCATTCCTGTTCACTATGGATTTCTGCCACTTGCAGAAGCTGTCCAGGGATTTCCCGGCATGATGGTTGATCTCCAGTGTGGGCTGGAATGGAAGCAACATGACAGCGTGTTCCCAGGAGAGCTCTGATGTGAAGGCACTGCCTATTCCACGCCAGCAGAGCACTGACACCAGTCCAGATGCCTCCACTTTACACAGAAAGCAGACAAAATGTGACTTTAGGAGGACTAAAGCTACCTAAACTTCCCTAAAGTCACCTTATCATAGAAAAAATCCTCAGAGTCCCTGAGGTCTCCTCAGCCCACGGCCTGAACCCAGTCCCCAGGTGCCTTTAGGAGGATGTGGAGCAGCCAATAGGCTGCACAGGGGAGGTTTCCTGGGGGTGAAATCCAAGGGGAACACACAGACCCACAAAGAAAGTGCAGACACGTGATGGAAATGGCCCAGCAAAGCTCAGCTTACCTGGTCCTCGGTGAGGAGAATTAGCCTGGTCACCAGGATGTTGACAATATTGCCCAGACTCGAGTCCTGGAAAAGTTTGGCAACCTGACCTCCAAGAAACAAGAAAAGAGGAGTCTTAAAAATGAGCTCTCTGGCTGGGTGGCACTGGAATCAGGGGGTGAGCCCTCAGTTGGGCCCTGTGGGTAGAATCAGGGCTGTGGGATCTGAACAAAAACTCCCCTTTGGCAGTTAGGGAAAAGCCTAAATTCCCACAGACTCCACTACCAGGCTTGAAAAAACAAGGGAGAGACCTTGGTGTCTCCTTCTGGGGACACTCAGCAGGGAAGATGATCCCCCAGCACCTGCTCCTTGCCTGGAGCTCAGGAGGGGAAGCCCCAGGACCATGGAATCACTCAGCCCCAAGGATGAAGCTCTGCTGAGGGAAAGGCATAGCATCTCTGAGAAATCTGCCAGCACACGGTTGGTGTGTCAGAGCAGATGAAACAGTTAGAACCGCTATTGTTTTAAAATCTGGCGTCTGCTTTAGAAATGCAAACAGAGTGAGCCATGAAAGGAGATCCTGTGGAGGACAGGACAAAGGGCCATCACAGAGGGGCTTTCAGAGGATTGATGGATAATTTCCAAGCCCATCTCACCTCACAGGAGGATTCAGCGTGGCCAATTCAGGCTGTTAATGCAGCTAGCCTGGTATCTTGCCGCCAGCAATGACCCAAGCCCAGGGGCACAGGCGGTGTGGTGTGGAAGAAGGAGGGTGTTTCTGCCGACCCCTCACGCTGCTCAGCCCCCAGGCGTGAGAGCTCACTGTCCTTATGCTTTCCCATGTGTTTCTCAGCTTGGCTGGCCCTATTTGCAATGCTAATTTGAGATGAGAGATGCTGTTCAAAGAAAGGCCTTTGTTCTCCCAGCCCAGATCTGGCCTGTGGTGAGCTCAGACAGGCCAGAGTTTGCCTCTCCTGTGGTGCCTCTCCTTTACAACAGAGGCCCTGCAGGCTCTGGGGTACCACTGCTCATCTGCAGCAGCAGCATGTCAGGATTTTTGACCCAAAACTGTTGCTCTGAGCACGAGGAGAAGCCGCTGTCCTCCTGGAACAGATCTGATTCCCCCACTGCGTTCCTACCCACTTTTCTTGCAGGAAAAACACACAGCACCCTCTGCCAAGCCCAGACATTGGGGGTGATGAACAGGAGTCATTGCTGGGTGTGTGTCTGAGTCCCCCTCACGTTCCTGGTGTGGTTATAACACTTACAATATTCATGATGGCCAGGATGTACTGCTCTATGTCCCTCCTGCCGTGGTACCCCACCATCATCTTGTCAGCCACCACCAGGGTCTCCACGTAGCGCTCGGTGCTCACGGATCTCTTGAGGGGCAGCTGCCCCCGCTGGCTGTGGTTGCCCGCTGGTTTCAGAGGGGAGGGTTTCAGTGTCCTCAGCCACCAGTGCCTCCCCTTCCAGGGCTTCTCATCTGAGGAGGGAAAGAGATGTTCCTGTTGCCCTCCAGCAGCAACTCGGCAGCTCACAGAGGTCTGGGATGTGCAGCGTGAGGGGAGAGGAAAGACCATTGTGGGGCTCTTCATGTGGACCCAGCAAATGCCCCACTGCAGCCCAGGGCTGTCCCCGTGCTCCTGCCAGCCCTGTTGGCACCACATGCACCCTCCTGCCTCCTCCTGCCCCCTTCTGCCCCCTCCTGCTTCCAGGGAGTGTGTGCCCATCCCACCATATCCCCACACACATCCATGTGCCCAGCCCTGCCCTCACCTCTGTCCCAGGGTGGATTTAGAGGCTGCACAGATATAACCTGAAAATAAAGCCACTGCAGATCATTTCCTCTTTCCTTTTCCTGCCGGGACCTCAATTTAGGACTTAGCTTTTCCTCCACAGAAATGGCTGCAGCCTCCAAAGCAGCAGCAGCAGATTTGTAGGACTTTGCTTCAGACTCCAAGTGCTGCTGACCTGACCCTAGGGAGGGTTCCAGTAGGGTCATAAGCTCCAATCCCTCAGCCTGGAGACCACCACAGGGCAGAAGAGCTGACTGGGAGACTACAGCCAGCCTCCTACCCTGCCAGGATCCCCCTCCTCTGCTCTAATGCTGGATTATCAAACATCTACCAGACTGGGAAGACGGGCAGATCACAGGCAGCCCCACAACCTGCCAGCTCCAGCTCCTCTGGCTCATCCCAGGAGCTCATGGGGGTGCTCAGGTGAGGACAGGTCCAGCCTGGGTGGCTTTGCTGAGCCAGTTGCACTGTGGTTGTTCTGAACTGTGTTTGCCCCATGGCTCCCACTGCACGGACTTTGCTTTCCAAGAAGCAATTAGAAGCAGGCTAAATTTTTTTTCTGGAAGCTGGGGAATGTGGCACAGAGTCAACAGAAGGGGAGTCTGCTGGCACTTTGTCCCAGCTTTGGGAGCTGGGATGGGAGGAGCTGGGCCAGGGAAATACAGAGTGTCTCCAGAGACGCTGGTGGGTCTGGGGACACTCAGAGCTGCCCAGAGCAGGGTGGCAGTGCCCCCATGTCTCCAGGTGTCCCACCCCTTCCAGCAGTGACCCCTCATCTGGTTAAGTGTCACCGCTGAGGCAGTGAATGAACACCCTGAAGGGACACATAAACCTCCAGGAGCAGCAGGGGAGAGCTCTGCTCTGTCCCCCCAAACTGATCCACAGAAAGCCATCCAGCCCCTCTGCAGGGATGGCCTCTCATCCTTATAGAGCCAGGGAGTTTACCTCTGTAAACTGAGGGAGAGGCATCCTGTGTGCCTGCAACATTTTGGGTAGATGGAGTCTATTCCCAAGGACCAGGGATTTCAGCCACACTCTGGGACACAGATGATGAGAAGGGCAATTGTGGAGAGGCCAAGACAGATCTGTGAGAGTCCCTTTGGGAGTCAAAGGTTTGCAGGTGTAGAAATGGGGAAGAAGTACAGCTACCATTCCCTGTAAACATCCTCTGTGACCAACCAGGTCCCACATCCCACCCCCAAGGCATCTTTCCACCTGGTCTCCAACAGAAGCAGAGTTATCTCAGCATGGACACAACCTGCAGTGGCTAAAAACCAAAGGCAAGTCTCTGCTGAGCATGTGTAAGCTGTGATTTCTCAACACATGGTAACTTGGCCAAATCTGGGAGGATTTTTCTGAGTAAAAATAAGAGGTGGATTTTTCTCTCTTCTATCCCATGATATATTTACACAATTAAAAGCCCTGCTGTGAAGAGGAGAGCACAAGACCTTTCCAAAGACCAGGCCACCAGAAGTGCTCAACATGGGTCAAAGTAAACACAGAAATCTTTCTTGAATGCAGGTGATTTTGGTTCTTTGACACCTAGAGCAGTGTGCACCTTCAAAGCCTGGTCTGACAGGACGTTCCCAGCCTTTTCTGGGATGGCTTGAGGGGGTGTTGGTGGGAACAGGTACCTAGCACTCCACAGGCTGCGTCTATGTGGGGGTACTGGAGAGATGATCTCTTGTACACGACGTGGGGGCTGCCCTTGCCCTCTCCCCCCGTGCTGACGTTGGCTCCAGGGCTCAGGGGTTCAATGAAATATTCCTCCTCATCTGCCACGATCACCCCGTGCTGCAGAAGGAAAGAGAGAGAGAGGGAAGGCAATAAAAGAGATGGAGAGAGAACTGGGGGTTGAATTGGTGGCTTCTCATAATGAGCTTTCTGTAAATCAACTCCATAATTTCTGGGGACTGATAAATACTTTGGAGGACGTGAAGGAATCCTTCATTCACACACAAACTCTGAACTGTATGAACATACAGAGCAGAGAAAACCCAGCCAGATGGTCCTGGATGCCTTGAGACATCTGTGTTCACTAAAGTCCTCTGGAAATCACAGCCTTTCCTTGCAAAATTATGAATGAATTGTTTCTTATTCCACCCACTCAGTCTCATTGAGAGCTGCCTGTGGGATCCTAAATACCATACATTGAAACTGCAGCACAGCTCAGCAGTGAGACCTGCCTCCTGTGCCTTCAGCTTCACCTGAGAACCTTCCAAAGCAGCTCAGGACCATTCCCACCAGCTGGGAACTGGGGCACAGAGCTGCAGAGAAGTGTGAATACTCAGAGGCTTTTGAGAAACACACTAAATCTTTAAAATCTGAAGTCTGATTAAGCAGGGAGGCAACGAGCAGGAGCCACAACCCTCCTCTGCAGCCTGGAACCTGGGTTGTTCACCTTGTACACCTCAGACTGGCCACCTCAGTCAGATGATCTTGTTTCTGCTCCCTTATTTGTTTGGGGTTTTTTATTCTTTGACTGACTGAATTTCAGCTGTGAGCGCAGACTTTGCTCTCTCTGAGTGGAGCCACTTGTGAGACAGTGATGACCAGGCAGAAGCAGATCCCAGTGGGGTGAGCAGCCAAACCCACCAGGTGCTTGCAAGATCTCTCCTCTGCAGCCAGTCCCATCCTCACAGCAAGATTTCCCCTTACCTGAAAGGTCTGAGCAACCAAAAAAGTTTCTGGAAGCACAACATGAGCTCTATCACTGTAACAACTCCTGAATCTCCCAATAACTCCAAGGAAGGTGATTGTGCCACCAGCTGAACTTCACCACCAAGCAACCAAGGCACAGAAATACACCTGGCATGGCTCAGGCACGATCCCAAACATCCAAGACCCATGTTACCTGGCTGTCCTCCCACTCCTTGTGTGCAAGCAGAGGTGGAGAGTGGTCATCCCTGTGTGCAGAGACACCCCTGCCCTGCCACCAGCTCAGCGCTGGTGCTGTCCTTTGGATGTCACAGCACTTTAAAATCTCCCTCTGTGCCCAGGGAACAGGAGCCCTGCTCTGCCAGGACTGGTGTGGCCTCCCCTGCAATACTGGGGCAGTTTCAGGGGACACAATATAAGAAAGATCTGAAGCCATTAGAAGGGTGTCCAAAGGAGGCAACGGAGATGGGGAAGGGCCTTGATTTGCAGCCATGTCAGGACACTGAGGGCACTTAGTGTGTTCAGCTGGACAAGAGGAGACTGAGGGGAGACCTCACTGCAGTTCCAACTGCCTGGGCAGGGGCAGAGGAGGGGCAGGGACTGAGCTCTGCTCTGGGGGGACCAGGGACAGCACCCAGGGAAGGGCTGGAGCTGTGTCAGGGCAGGGTCAGGTTGGATCTCAGGGAAAGGTTCTTCCCCCAGAGGGTGCTGGGGCACTGCCCAGGCTCCCCAGGGCAGTGGGCACGGCCCCAAGGCTGCCAGAGCTCCAGGAGCATTTGGATGATCCTGAGAGGCACAGGGTGGGATTGTTGGGGTGTCCTGTGCAGGGCCACGGGTTGGACTGGATGATCCTTGTGGGTCCCTTCCAACTCAGCATATTCTGGGATTCTGTGGCAGAGAGAGGAGAAGTCGGTGTCTGTAAAACCCCTTGAGGCCCTTGAACAGAAGGTCCCACCTGTGTAACAGCACTGTGGAGGGTGTTCTGGGGGAAGCCTCTCTAGGGTGGATCCTCCCAGCCCAGCCAGGCTCTGCCCCTCTCCCTCCCTCCCAGAGCTCAACTGGGGCAGTGTGTGCATGGCAGAGCCCCCAAACCCCCAGTGCCGGGGGATTTCCTCCTGCCCCAGTCTCTGTTGCTCTTGGCTGGGCTCCACCTTCTCAAACACAAGTGAGGTACTGTGAGGTTACCCTGGCCAGAGCTCCAGCGGAAAGCCGAGTGCCGGCAGCAGAGCCAGCTGGTGCTGGCTCCCCACCAGCCTGGGGCAGAGCACCAAGGGGGAAGAGCAATTCCTGCCCCAAACCCATGTCCTGCTGCAAAAGGGATGTTCTGACTTAAACCTGGAGCCTCAAACCTCCACCTCCTGCCACGAAGCTTGGATATCCTGGGAGGGTGACCCCAAGGACCCAGCTCTGAGGTCCAGATGCTGGACATGACACAGGCCTGGTGAAAGGGGGTGGTGAGAAGTCCTCAGGGAGATCCCTGTGGTTTGTGGGGGAGCTAAACTGGATATCCTGTCCGTGATTCAGCCAGGTCAACTGCAGAGCAAGGATGGTTTGTGTTCTTAGTTATAACCATGGTTCAGAAAAGCACAACCTCACACTGGGATTCGGCTCTTCCAGCTCCTCATACAGACACAGGAGCTGTTTGCCTCAGCAGGGACCCTCTCTGCCTTGCTCCAAGCATTTGCATCCATGCTGGGCCCAGGGGGGGCTCTTCAGGTGAAAACACGATTTCAGCACACACAGGGAAGCTGTGGCTGCCCCATCCCTGGAAGTGTCCAAGGCCAGGTTGGACAGGGCTTGGAGCAACCTGGGCTAGTGGAAGGTGTCCCTGTCCATGGCAGGGGGTGAGATTGGATGAGCTTTAAGGTCTCTTCCAACCCAAACCCTTCTGTGGTTAAAAGTAACCCAAAACAAGTTCTATCTGTGTAAGGACAAAATTCGTTATGGCTTTGTTTTATGTCAAAATCATAAGGGTTGTTGAGAAAATATAAATATATGTGTATAGTAAAGATACTCTGGTGAAGAATAACATTTTATATGTTTATAGATAAGGAACCAACAGCCTCAGTCCCTTAGAGAACACCAGGGAATTGCCTGGGCCTTGAGTAGAGTTCCCATGTCTAAACAATGGGAACCAAGGGACAGGACCTGAGGGAATGGCTGGAGCTGTGCCAGGGGGTTTGAGATGGATCTCAGGGAAGGGTTCTTCCCCCAGAGGGTGCCCAGGCTCCCCAGGGCAGTGGGCACGGCTCCAAGGCTGCCAGAGCTCCAGGAGCGTTTGGACAACGCTCTGAGGGACAGGGTGGGATTGTTGGGGTGTCCTGGGCAGGGCTAGGAGTTGGACTTTGATGATCCCTGTGTGTCCCTTCCCGCTCAGGATATTCTGTGATTCTGTGAACTTAAGCCTGGGTGACTTCCCCTGAAGCTCAGCCCAGCTCTCCCTCCATGGGAGATGTGTGGGGTGAGCCTCTCTGCCCAAGTGCCCTCAGGCCTATGGTCTGGAAAAACAGTGGGAGCATGTCTGGATATTGGGAAGACATGCCCAGACACTGGCATCCAAAGCTGATGTGTTGAGAGGTGAGGATTGTGTCAGAGGTGTTTGAAAACAAAGCAGTTTAGTGGTGCACCCTGCAGACACAGAAATTCCTGAGGGATGTGGGAGTTGGAGGACAGGAGGATGGCTGAGGGCTCATTACCATTTTCTCAGCTTTGTGTTGGACACAATTATCCCTTTCCCTCCTCCTCATGCACAGCTCACCCCACAACCAGCACCTGGTTCCTGCTTGTGCCCTTTCAACACCCCAACCCCCTGGGCAGCTTCAGTGAGCCAGGTCTGCAAACGTGGGTCACCTTGTGCAGTCCCCCCTCAACAGCAGGAACACGAACCTGGACTCCTCAGCCACTGGGGACCCTCTTCTGTCCCTGCCCATCCCCTCCAAAGCAGATGATTCCTGCCTGAAGCTGAGCACGCTGTGGATGAGGGATGGCACGAGTGAATCAGCTGTTACTGAGCAACCAGAGCTCTGCCAAAGGTCTCTGGTGTAAGCACGGCTCCCTCTCTGCCAGCTACAAACATTCCAGGCTCCTCTTGCCCAAATTCCCAACCCTGTCGTCCTCACTGACCCAGCAGACCTCCTCCCCCACCCTCCCTGATGTCCACAGCTCTCGGGGGCGGGGGGACAGAGCTCAGGAAAAGGAGACATTGTTGGATGACCCTCAGTCCCTCTTTGTGCCTGGTTGCATTTTCCTCCAGACAGCCCTTGGTATCTCTCCAGGGCTAAACACAGCCTGTGGACTGAATTATCCCAGTTCAAAGTGCTGCTGGGCCATTGCTTGCCCTCTGAAGTGGGAAGGGTGATGCTAGATCCCTCCGGATCCAGCAGCATCCAGCTCACCCCTCAGTGCCTTTGAGAACACCAGGGAATTGTCTGGGACTTGAGCAGAGCTCCCATGTCTAAACAAAGGGAACCAGGAGTTTATGCAGCTCTGAGTTTTGGCTGTGAGGTGGAAACATTAGACTCTGTGATATAATGAGTCAGATTCTCATTTCTGTTAATAACCCACAGCACTGTTCTGGCAGTGTAATTTAGCAATAAATCAAACGTGAATTCATTCCCATTTGGATGCTCTTCCACACTGCCAGAATAGTGCTCAGAGGTGGGGCTGGAGCCTAAATATGAGTCTGGCCTACAGAGTCTTTTTCTACATGTTATCCCTCCAAGGGAGCCATCAGCCTTGGGATTCACTAACGGGGTATGTTTGCTCCATCCCTCCATCTGGCAGGTCATGAAATGTGCTTTAGGAGCCAGAAATATTAGAAAAATCACAGAAAAATAGGGATGGAAGTCCTTAGTCTGGAAGAAGTAATGAATCATACCTGGAGGATTTTTGAGAGGCATTTATCTGGCCTGTTCTTAAACATCTCCAAAGATCTCCCACTCTCCAAGCAATCTAGTTCAGACCTCAGCTAACCTTACCACTGATGTTACCATTAAGCTTTTCTTACTGATATTTAGGACCATGATGTCTTTTATAAGCTGTTAAGACTTGCAAAATCAATCATTTCCACCCTCCTTCCAGCAGCCTTGCTGGTTTTGAGGAATGCATCTTTGTTGTTCTCTTTTTCATACTGAAAACCTGATTATTTCAGTTTTTCCTACATAATTCACATTTTTAGCTCCTGAAATCAAGCCTGGGAACCCCAGGAATGCATCTACACTTGTAAGGACCTCAATGCACTTTTGACATTCCAGTGGTGCTGTGAAATTCCTGCCCTCCTGCACTTCTCCCTCTCTTTCAGCACATGCAAAACATTTTTTGCTGTTGCTGTTGGAAGGGGAGGGGAGAGCTCTGCGAGAGCCAGAATAACAGTCTAGAGCCTGGATTATCCCATTCCAATTAAAACCAGTGGAAAAATGCCCACTGCCTTTGGCAGGGAGAGGACTGCAAGTGGAACAGGGATGAGGAACCCCTGGAGATGTGATGAGGGATGTGCTGTCTGCACCTTCCACCCATTTTGGACACTGGTGCAATATTCCCACTTGACACCAATCCCAGACCTTTCCCAGCGCATGGACCCACCTGCTGGGACACACAACTGGTTGCAGAGATCAAAGAGGCTGCAATTAGTTGTCGGCATTGCCAAGCACAGACACTCACCAGCCCGTTGCAGTTGCTGATGGCCACCTTGGAGCTCAGGTACTGGTCCTGCAGGTGGCCAGCGTAGTGACAGTCCTCGTGGAAGTCGTGCTGCCAGTCCATGCCATCCCGCTTCCAGTATTCCACAGTGAAGTGCTCAGCCAGCAGGTTGGAGTGCAGGGTCAGGTTGAGCAGAAACTGGGTCCTGTGGGCAGAGACTTTGTAGAAGACCTGCTGCTCGGAGGGCTCGTAGGCCAGGGAGCCCAGGCTGCGCCGGGGCCGCGGCTTCAGCTGCCTCCGCATGTCAAAGGTGAGGAAGTCCCCGTTTTGGTCCACTTGGATGGGGAAGGCGATCTCATAGTGATCCAGGCTGGAGAGGAACTCCTCTGGGGAGGGAAGGAAAGACAGAGGAATGATGTTCTTCAAGGACAGCCTGAGTCAAACACCCAGTGATGTCGAGCACAGCCACAGCCAGCACAGGGGCCTGACACACAGGGTGTGCTCTGCCCAGGCTGCAGGATCCTTGGGATACTCCCAAAGCCCTGCAGCCCACAGAGCCTTGGGATAGCAACACTATGGAGTCTAATTTTCTTCCTCTGCAGATGACGTAAAGGGGCCCTTCAGGACCTGGCTCTGGTCCTGGACTATCCCCCATCCATCCATCCATCCATCCATCCATCCATCCATCCATCCATCCATCCTCCATCTCCACTGGGCAGAGGGACTCCAGGCTGTGCAGAGCTACACTCTGTGGTTTGGAGGGTTATTTTAACTGGATCGTTTCAGTAACAAACCCAGCAATAAGGTCTCCTCAAAATGAACCAGAACAAGCCTTGGGGTGACAATATCAGTCTTGCTGAGGAACTGTGGGTTCCTCAGAACATCTACAGCTGCCAAATGGACCTGCCAGCTGATAACTCACACAATCACAGCACCACACCAACCTCCCCAGTCACAGCTGCCTTGGTGCAGGAGGTCCTGGGCATCCTCCTGAGGGGCATAAAGCCACTGTCCTTGTAGTGCCAACCTTGATATCAAAACAAGAAAGAGGGTAACTATCAAAAGAAGAAAGAGGGCAACTGGAATTCCCCAGCTGGGCTGAAAAGGCAGCAAGAAAAGAAGTCAGACATCTCTATTCCTCGGCCAGGTCTCTGTCTGTGGTACCATCCTGCCTTCCCAGCTCACTGGATTTGTGATATTTTTTATCATATCAGCATGGCTTAGCACCTTCTCTTGGGGCACTTGAGCTTCGGGCCTGTCCTGTAGTGCTCTGAAATGTGCTCTGCAAGGTCACTGTCTGACCTGTCTGCCTGGTAATGCAACAGTTCTGCCTGTCAAACAACTTGGCACTGAACAACCTCCCCAGAAATCCCTCCTTTTCAAAGGAAAATGTCCCAGGGACTGCAAGGCTGGATCTGAGCTGTCTCTGACAGCCCTCAGCACCACAGGCTTCAGTAGGAAATGTAAAATATCGTGTGCTGGGCAGGACAGCTTCTCCACCACACTGTTTTCTGAACCCCTCGTGTCTGGAGGTCTTAAGTGTCCTGAACCCTCTGTTCATTCTGGAAGAGCCTTGCTGTGCTTTCTGCACCTATTTGGAGATGCTTCTTAAGCAAACAGGTTGCTCCAGGGTGGCTGCATTTCTCCTGGCTCCACAGCACCCATCTTCAAAGCCTTCCCAGCCATCAGAAACCTGGACTCCAAACCCACTCTCACCACAGGGCAGCACTGGAAAGTTCCCTTTCCTCTGGTGTGTTTTCCAGTGTGGAAGCCTGATAGAGTGGTTTCCTTGGCCACCAGCAATGGGACAGTCCTTCCCACCAGCTGGGTTTAGGGGTTAGCTTCCCTCCTTCCAGACCATGAGCACTTCTGGCACCTCTCCCTTGCCTCAACAAGCCAGAAATAATTATTAGTTTTTTAACTTCCTGTGCTCCAGCTTCTCCTGCATCCCCTGTGATACAAACAAGGGTGACTATTTGCACTTCAGCAATGACTTCAGGCTTGGAAAAATTTGTTACGGGAAGTGTCTTGTTTTTCTTTTTCCCTCTTTGCAGCCCATGTGGGCTTGAAAAAGAGTGAATCAGAAGGAGGTTTGTGCATGTTGTGGCTACAAAGGTCCTAGGAGCCTGGGCTGGAGTCTCTGGAAGTGTATCTAGGAGGAAAGAAGGTGTCCAGAGCCTGAGAGTGAAGTTGTGTGTGAGAATCTGATTGTGTTGTGGTGTTGGTCACTGTGCATCTTCTCAGGGATGTCACCCTGGGAAATGAAGGACAGGGAGAGCCTAGGAACAGTATCCTGGTCACAGGAATGTTTTAGGAAGTGATGCCTTCGAGTGGGAATGCCACAAATGGAAAAAATAACCAAAGATAGAGTCATGGAATAGTTTTGTTGGGAAGGGACCTTAAAGATCATCTCATTCCACCCCCTGCCATGGGCAGGGACACCTTCCACTAGCCCAGGTGGCTCCAAGCCCCGTCCAACCTGGCCTTGGACACTTCCAGGGATCCAGAGGCAGCCACAGCTTCTCTGGGCAACCTGTGCCAGGGCCTCACCACCCTCACAGGGAAGGATTTCTTCCATATATCCAATCTAGATCTAATATTCCCAATATCTAATGTTATATACATGACGGTTCTGCTGACAGTCATGCAGAGTGTTGATAATGAAGAGAGAGTTTCAACACAGGAAAGAAGTCACTGTCCCCACCCAGTGTCACAGCTGCCTCCTCCTCTTCTCTAAAAATGTAAAATATTAATTCAGTCTCTAAGAGGTTTAGATCTCTTACTCCCCAACCCTGTCTACTCCATCCTACATCACAGATGTTCCCCAAATCCCTCATTTCTCCATCACTCCTCGCATTACAGACCATACTGGGAGCTCCATTTGGCCCTTCTGTCAGGTGCCCTCTGACCCTCAGCCACTTCACACTCCATGAATAGACCTTGGCCTGAGCTCTGCTGCACCCACTGGACCAGAAGGGTCTGCACTGGAGATAAGCACTTGGTGTCTGCAGAGACCTGTCAAATTGCTGTGGAAGAGAGGCTATAAAAAGCCTTTCTCCAGGAAAACCTGCCCATGGCTGTGTGGGACACTGGGCACCCCTGAAGGACCACAAACCTCCTGGGAGAGAGCAAGGGAGAAAGCTGGGGAGGAGGAGGGATGGGATGTGGGCAGAGGTACCTCATTGTCCCATTTCTGGTGGGAAGAGAGCAGGGATGGCAGAAGAAGGGAAAGGGCACGGGGCAGGCAGAGGGGGGAGCTGAATAAACAGAAGAAGAAGGAAATGTGAGGAGGGAGGATTTTATTCCCTCCTGTGTCCTCACCATTGCCTCACTCATGACTGAGCTGCTTCAAGGATGTAGAGGAAGCAGATGTTTTCTTTGGTCTTGTCACCAAAGAGGAACCCCAGCTGCAGCCCAGACATGATTCCCAAGGGATGGCTGTGGAAAGTCCTCTGGAATCCCCTGGCTTCAGGCTGCCCCAGCACTGTGGCAGCCTCACTATGTCCTTCAAGGGTCCACTGGTTTACAAGTAACCAGGAACAGTAAGATCAGCCCACCTAATGTTCCATAAAATGGGAATGTCTGATCTATCACCATAGTTAAACTAAGGACCTAACAGAAAATTCCCTTTGGACCAAAAACCACTCAGCTCTGGTGAGCACATGCTGGATCCATGGTCAATTCACACAATCGTGGAATCATAAAATGGTTTGCGTTGGGAGGGACCTTAAAGCCCATCCTGTCCCACCTCCTGCCATGGGCAGGGACACCTTCCACTAGCCCAGGTTGCTCCAAGCCCCGTCCAACCTGGCCTTGGACACTTCCAGGGATGGGGCAGCCACAGCTGCTCTGGACAAGCTGTTCCAATGATTTCAGCTGCTGTTCCCTGCACGGTTACATTGGAACCTCGTTACATTTCCTGGGCTTGCAGAGGCCTCAACACCAGCTGCTGTTTCCCATAAAGATAATTAGAGCTCATGATTATGATACCTTAATCTTTCTCCTGCATAAAGCAAATACCCCGACCTGGAGTCGTGTGCACACAGGGCACGAGTCCTGCTGCTGCTGACTGGGGACAGACACTCAGCGGAGATCAGGGGCTTGTTGAAAACACTGGCCTTTGTTCTCCAACTGCTCAGAGGAGATAACAGCATTTCACCCTCTTGAGAAGGTGTTGTGGGGATTATGTCCTGACTGTCTCAGCAGGGTGGTGAAGTGTTGAGTAACACCAACACTGTTCTGGATGCAGGAGACTAAAACAGGCCTCTGACAGCAAGAGGGGCCCATGGGCCCGTGACCAACCGTGTGAAGAACAAGGGGAAGTGCTGGATTCTGGGATGGGGAAACCCCGGATGGACAGACTGGGAATGAGAGGCTGGAAAGCAGTGCCAGGAAAGGGCCCTGGGGGTCCTGGTGGGTGCCAGTTGTCCCTGAGTCAGCAGTGCCCTGGCAGCCAGGAGGGACAGCCCTGTCCTGGGGGCATCAGGGAGGGGATTGTCCCGCTCTGCTCTGCCCTGGGGCGGCCTCACCTCAACATTGGGGCAGTTTGGGGGGACACAATGGAAGGAAGATCTGAAGCCATTAGAGGGTGTCCAAATGAGGCCACAAGGATGGGGAAGGGCCTTGATTTGAAGCCGTGGGAGGACACTGAGGGCACTTGGTGTGTTCAGCTGGACAAGAGGAGACTGAGGGGAGACCTCACTGCAGTTCCAACTGCCTGGGCAGGGGCAGAGGAGGGGCAGGGACTGAGCTCTGCTCTGGGGGGACCAGGGACAGCACCCAGGGAAGGGCTGGAGCTGTGTCAGGGCAGGGTCAGGTTGGATCTCAGGGAAAGGTTCTTCCCCCAGAGGGTGCTGGGGCACTGCCCAGGCTCCCCAGGGCAGTGGGCACAGCCCCAAGGCTGCCAGAGCTCCAGGAGCATTTGGCTGATCCTCTGGGGCACAGGGTGTGACTCCTGGGGATGGGCCTGTGCAGGGCCAGGAGTTGGACTGGATGATCCTTGTGAGTCCCTTCCAACTCGGTAAATTCTGTGATTCTGTGACCCTTGGGACTGGACAGGGACTGGGGAGGGGACAGACTGCAATCCCTGGGACCACCACACTCCCAACAACGTCATGGGCTAAGGCTCATCCCCTGGCCAGCTCAGGGCATTTAGGAAAGCACAAATGCACTAATTTTGGAGAGCCCTTGGGTTTAGAATGAGGTATATTAATAAACAGAGTGGGGACTCATGCCCAGGGAGGGTCGGGGGTGCTGTGAGTCAGGATGGGGGTGATCTGGCAGCACCATCCCTGTCAGAGTGTGGGGCTGCACATGGAGGGAGGTGTGAACTGCCAGACCCAGAACAGTCCCCCCAGGACCCAGAGCCTTTGGCCAACAGGAGTAGAAAATGGGTGACTTTTTAAAAGAAAATCTGCCTGTATAACTTTGCACAGCAGGGTTTGGTTGTTTCTCCTTGTGCTGCCTCCACGGGCAGCACTGAGATGGTGCCCAGCCCCAGGATGGTGTGGGGTTTTGGCTGCCGTTGTCCCTCTTTCCAGTTCTGCTTCACAAGACAACCCATGGAAACGGTAACTCCATCCTACACTGCTCAGGGAATGTCACCTGGCTCCAGCCAGGGAATGTCACACACTTTCACCCTGCTGGGATTGATCTGGGCACACGTCAGATGTCAGGATTGTGGCTGCCTAAGTAAGTTTTAACACCTTGCACTGATAAATGTCTGATTTCAGAGCTCTTCCTTCTCACCTCTGGTGCCTGATGGGAGTTCTTAAAACTTCTTAAAAAATGATCATAAAAATAGTAGCACTAAGTAGTTTAACTACCCTGTGCTACCTGCCTGTGCTGTTTTGTACCCTAGGCTGGCACAAACCAGCCCACCTCACTTTCCAGTCCATTCACTCCTAACCTGGAATAAAATCAGACACAAAAGCACAAATCCAGGTACAAGAGACCCAAATTCTGCTTTCCTTGCAGTCACACATTGTGTGACTCTGTATTTAAACTCAAGACCATTACAGAATCACAGGATATGATGAGTTGGAAGGGACTCATCAGGATCATGGAGTCCAACTGATGGCCTTGCACAGGACACCCCAACAATCCCACAGAGACACACAAGATGGGTACAAAGTGCTCATGCCTGAGCAGGTTTGAGCAGTTACTACCAGTATCACTTACAGAAACATGTGTCCAAACTAAAACTGCTCCTCCAGCAGCACAGGCCTGTCCAGGCTCAGCTGGGCAGATGGTTTGGGTGCTCCAGCACTGCCCTCCATCCCTGCACACACCAAGGACCTGCTGGCTGCACACACACAACCCTCCTAAGCTTCTACTCATCCAAGGATGCGCTGCTCCACCCAAGTGGAAGGGGAGCTTCCCTGATGTCACCACATCGCCTTCCTTTCCTAAGCCTGTTGTGGCTCTTGCCCTGCACAGACCTGACTGCTCTGAATTCTGCAAAAAGTCCCATCCAAGAAAAAAACACATCCTTTCCTTGCAGGGCAATGGAAAACATAGGACATGCAGCAGGAGCAGCTCTGGAGCAGTGCAGCAGGGGTGGAGGTATCTCCATCCACTCCTCAGCACGTTACCCCAACACTTCCCGGGGCAGCAGTAGGGTTTGTGCCAGCAGCAGTAGGGTTTGTGCCAGCAGCAGTAGGGTTTGTGCCAGCAGCTGTGGGTGGACCCAGCTCCCCTCCCAACTCCGATCCCTACCTTGTGACTTGTAAGCAGGGAAGGTGCCCATGGCCGCAGCGAGGATGACAGTCCACATGAGAAGCCTCCAAGCCACTGCCATGGTCAGCGCTGCTTGTCTCAGTGCAGGGAGAATTGTGCCAGCTGGGAGGGCGCTGTCCCAACATGTCTCTCCCTCAGGCACTGCTTATGTGGAGACAGGAGTGCTCGGTCCCTCCGCAGGCATCCTTGGCCGCTCTGTGCTCTTCCCAGGGCAGCGAGGCCGGAGTGTCCCTGCAGGGTCCTGGGCCTGGACCAGCACAGCGGGGTCAGCACGGGCTAATCCGGACCTCAGGCATTGCCCCTGCAGAGGAGAGGGTGGGGTGAGTGAGTGGGAGAGAAAAAGGATGGAGGAGGAGGACACCAGGGAGAACACAGGGTGCAGGGTGAGGAAAGCCTTGAATGAGAGAGAAAGGGAGAGACAAAGGATAAAGGAGAAGGACATGAAGAACGTGGGGTGCAGGAATAAAAGCTTTGAATGGGACAGACAAACTACGGAGGAGAAGGACACAAGGGAGAACATGGAGTGCAGGAATGAGGGAAGCAACTGAGAGACACAAAGGGAGAGAAGGATATGAGGGAGAACACGGGGTTCAGGAATGAGGAAAGCCCAATCTTGGAGGAGTGAGATGGAAAGAGTGCAAAAGAGGAGGACAGGATGGAAAGTGAAAGCAGCCATCATTAACCACATAAGCTTACAGCACTGCAAAACCACGTTGACCTGCTCCAGGGACACTGCACACCCAGGGGCTCTGCCAGTACTGCTCCAACAGCAGCACTAAGGGCTGGAATATACCCTATACCTGAGGAAAGGAGATCAGAATCAGTGGGAACCCTTTGTCCTGTGGCAACAGCCATGAGGAAGCACAGATCAAAGAGTGACCTGGTCTGGGTTACCTGATCTCTTAAAGGGGAGCAGGAAAGAACAGCATCAGCAGCAACCAAGAAATCATCTCTACTGGTTTCCCTGGATTTAAAACACACCCTAATGACTGTCACTGCACAGAAGGAAGAGCATTTGCTCCCAGAGTGTATTGGCCAAACCATAAAAAAGTGATGGAGAACAAAGGAGCCATTCAGTGAACTCACCCTCAGCCCCATCCACAAATGGATCCTGAGATTCCAATTGCATTTTTTATTTAAAATGGTTTGCTAATTGCTTCAGTGAAAGATTTTTGGCTTGCAGATGATTCCCACTCAGTCTGAGGCAATTATACAAACTCACATCATGCTGGAGAGTTGTGTAAAGCCAGTGGGTTTTGTTTCCATCCAGCGATCCCATGACGTATGTGATGAATACAGCACATACCTCACCAGAGCCCGGAGAATCCCAAATATCTCAGCAGTGATGCTCTGCTCCAGAGCAGCCCTGTAGCAAAACATAAACCTCCTTGCAAAGATGACAGATAAATAAATATATCCTGAATCTCGACTTGCTGGAGCACGGCTGGGAAAAGCAGGACAGATGCTCCTGAGCTGCTGGGAAGATGAGGCTGGAGATGGGAGGAGGGTACTCATTGCAAAGGTGTCAACAGCCATGGCATGTGTGTGGTCCTCATCCCAGTAAGGAAACAGTTGGAATAACATTATTATACCCTGCCTTGCTCTGCTGTTGTATGTTTTAAACAGCAAAGGCTACCAACTGGCTAGAGCACAGTCTGGTTCCTCCTGGGCTCTGTCATGCTCCCCATCACCTCGTGTCCTCAGGGGAGTCTGAAACCCTGAAAGTTTATTTCTACTTCTGTTTTCCCACCTTTACTATGCAATTCATGCAATTTGCGCTGTGGGGGCCTGGAATAACACCCATCACAGGACACAGACTGCATGGGTGAGGTGTAAGAGGAAATCTGGGAGATGGTTCTTGCCCCAGTAATTACCATCGAAACCCAGAATGGTTTGGGTTGGGAGGGATCTTAAAGTCCATTTTGTTCCAACCCTTGCCATGGGCAGGGACACCTTCCACTAGCCCAGGTTGCTCCAAGCCCCGTCCAACCTGGCCTTGGACACTTCCAGGGATCCAGGGGCAGCC